TTAAAAGTTACAGATGATAGTTCCATGTGCTTTTTTTTTTAAAGTGGGGTTCACCTCCAATTTCATTGTTAAGAGCAGAGGATTAGAAGAAGATGAAAGTAGCAGAGAACTCCACGAATATGTATTGCCTCAACGTTCTGCAGGGTTTCTGCATTGTGTGTCCTGAGACTCTTTGCTTCATTTCCACCACCAATATTTCCAGCCCCAATAATTCAAAAAATTACAAGCCAGACTCCAAAAGCTCATGAGATTGGCTTAAAAACCACAACATTAACAAAAGCACACTCTTGGGGTGAGGTGGATGTTCTATTTCCCTTCTCATCCTGGAACCCTCAGAGGATCACATTTCAAGCTTTTTCTCTGCAGCCATGAGAGCTAGAAAGACTATTTAAAAAACAAAATCAGAAGGAAGTAAGCTGAGTCTCTCACAATCACATGAATTCAGGAACTGGCGTGTTAAGACAATCCCCCGCATTGTGAGACTCCTGATACAATCGTGGACTGATAATTAAAGGCCACAATATTCTCCTCCCTGTGGGGAAAGCCTGAGAGTGTGTTGGGGAGGAAGAAACTCCACCAGATTCCCATCGAGGTCTCTTCCGTCAGGCAACTTCCTATGGAAGGGCCAAGGACAAAGGTGGGCAAAAGGGCCTCCGTGGACCAGATCCTTGCTTCCTTTGCCCCTTCATAGTGCCACGTGCTCCTCGCAGGGCAGGAGGCGGCTTCCTGAGCTCCTCCGCCCCCGGACTCTGATTGGCCTGGGGGGCAGGGGAATGTGCCAAGCCTCTTCCAGAGCACGGGTGCCTAGTAGGGTTGCCAGATCGTTTCAACAAAAATACCAGGCACACTTGACATTACATCACAATCTACATTACATCTTTATTTAGAAAATACCAGACATTTATACTCTCTCAATTTATTTCCCGAACAGAAAGCTCAAATACTCCACTGTCCGGTTCAAAACCGAATACCTGGCAACCCTAGTGCCTAGTGGGAAGAGGGGGCAAAACGGCTCTCCTACCCTATTATGGTCTGGGGGTAGGGCTGCCCCGTACCTTCCTGTTAAGGGTTGCCAGGTGTCTGGTATTGACCCGGACAGTCTGCTATTTTCGCCTCCTGTCCAGTAAAAAAAATTCAGAAAATACCGGACCCCTAAAATGTCCGGTATTTTCCCCCCCTTCCCCCCCCCCGCCAGGTGGCGAAAATACCGGACACCTAGCAACCCTATGACACACACAGAAACCGCCCTCCCTCCCTCGCTTACATGGTTCCACAGGGGCTTATCTTGTGGCTAAAACAGGAAAACAAAATGGCTGCCACCAAAAAACCATGCTGATTTTTTTTTTGGCTTAATAACTGCTGTCGGGGGTCTCTTTCTTTTTCCTCAACAACTTTGGTCTCTCCCCCCCCCCCCCCAAAAAGTGTTTTTTTGGTGGGGGAGGGGGATGTTCGGTATTTTGGGTTAAATCATCTGGCAACCCTACTTCCTGTAAGGCCCCGCCCCTTCCTGTTTAGGCCCAGGGCTACTTCACAAATTTTTGAAGTGGCCCCCGGGCAAAAATTAGTGCCCACCCCGGCCAAGGACTTGCCTCCTACATCATATGCATCCCTCCCAATCCGTGTAGTTCTCCAGAGCTCTACAAGAGGCATAGGACCATTTAGGAAGAAACCCTGGGCTTTGGTAGGGAACCCTACTCCAGCTTTGGTTGCAGGAGTCTGAGAGACTGAAGGAAGAGATAATCATCCCAGCCTGGCTCCTTTTCAGACATGCACATATAGAAGGTTTCTGTTAATAGTCACCATGGTTTTCACTGGCACATACATACTGCTGCCAATTGCTTTTTGCCAGCAAGAAGTGTGGGGCTCAGAACTGCACACTAGGAATGTGTCCTGGTAACTGGTTACCTGATAAGCATCATCCTCATCCTTACCAGGTAATGCTTACTGGTTAACTGGTGCCTGGGATCAGCCCTCCACCTGTGGTGCACTGCCAAAGCCAGCAGCCCTCTGGGCTGGGGCTGCTCCAGCCAGGCTGGGCCCATCCACTGCCCTACCGATTAAATGGGATTTTACATGTCTACTGCACACAAGAGCCTAGGATGAAGTACTCAGAATACATTGCCCTGGGAGTTAGGGAAGAGACCTAAATGATCAAAATGTATCACAGATGGTCCATGACATGGCTTCCATTTATGCAATAAACCAAGAACACTGGACAAAGATTAACTGATGGGTCTGCCCAAGTCTGGTGGAAAAAGCACTTTCATGTTGCCACAAGCCACATGATTTTACAGCTCTCTGTTTTGGCACACTGGCCTAACTGACCATTGTATAACCAAAGAGAATCCAGTTCTTCATGGCAAGGCCTTCATGTAAATCTAGCGGTTACCTTCTGCTCTAAAAAAAGAAGCCTATTAGTCAAGGAGACCCAGAATGTAAGCTATACATATAGGGGGCAAAATGTGTGGTTTTTCTTTTTAAGTTAAGAAAAAATTTTCCTTTTGTAATTCTACCCAGCATGTGTTTTGTGACACCTGCTGCTAAGAGATGAAGCCATTTACTATAAGCCACATTTTTTATATATATATTAGCAAAGAACAATAAATTGTGTTAAATCAGGCGTTTCTCTAAGTTAGGGCCAAATCCTGAGTAGTGCTAATGACTTGCTACACTTCCACTGCCTTCTACAGGCATTAAAAGGTGCTGAGTGCTAGTTGGCAGATGCTGGTTACCTTGGAGGATCAGGCCCTAAATGAGCAGGTAATAGAAAGCCACAAACTGCTGCCGATGGCTTAGCTGGTACAATAACCCCCCAATTGCTGTTTACCTCTTGCAAGACACAGTACAGATTTATTACAGGGACAGACCTGTTTCAGAGATCTAATGCTGTAGGTAGGAGAAATGTTCTAGTCATACTGAATATCTGCCAAGGTACATAGCTGATTTAGAGTTCAAATACAAGACATTTATTTATTAACAACATACACACACAGTTTGCCTTGCAGAAATATAAAGTGCATAATAACACACAAAACTAACACCTCTGAAGCATGTAATGATCCAGATTAATGGAACTGCAAGTAACAAGCACCAGGATTGAAAGAGCCTTACTGAAAAAAGAAAACAATGTGAGGCTAATGTTTGGGTCTGATTTCACCAGGAGTAGGAGAAGGTGTCGATTCAAATGAGTTGTTTATACAGGCAGTCCCCGGGTTACGTACAAGATAGGGACTGTAGGTTTGTTCTTAAGTTGAATCTGTATGTAAGTCGGAACTGGCAACCAGATTCAGCCGCTGATGAAACTGATCAGTTTCAACAGCAGCTGAATCTGGATGCCAGTTCTGACTTACATACAGATTCAACTTAAGAACCCCAGACATCCCCAAGTCAGCTGCTGCTGAAACTGATCAGCAGCTGATTCCAGGAAGCCCGGGGCAGGGGCT